AAGCTTGTTTTACACAATTTCGGCGCGCAGACGGGAAAGTGAACTCTGACTGCCGTACCGAACGGCTCGGGTTCGAATACCTGAGAAGGCCTGGATGGTCCGTCGAGGAGGTAAGCATAGCACAATTATTTTTTTTTTTTTTTTTTAATTTAGGGCAGGCACTGGACAGCAAAATTTGAAATAGCAAAATTTTCAGAATTTCGAGAGGAACTGAGCAGTAAAATTTAAGATTCGCAGATATTACACCGGGTTATAGCATGCTTAGTTCCAGCTCTGATGGAGCTTTATTATCTGTGTTATCATTTATTATAACTAAAGACTCAATCTTACACATAATTTAACTTAAGACACAATAACACGCCGAATAAATACTAATTCAGAAGTCAAACAACAAAAATCAGCGTTATATTTACTTCTTACGTTGTTTGACTTCTGAATTATAATTTAACTTATGATTAAAGTTATAATTTATATCTGTGGTATCATTTATTAAAACTAAAAACCCAAATTTCTTGTGTTCTTTAAAACGTTTAGAATTTAAAGTGCTCTGCGACGGGAAAAGTTTAGAAAACACTGCAACAGAAAACTGGGACATAACTTTCAAGGATTCTAAAGAAGTTGAACATTTAAATTTTTTATAGAATTCTAGAAGACATTTCGCAAGGTATAATAATCATACAGCAAAGATAAATTTTGCAATTATGCAGTTCAGAGAGATGCATCATAAGCATGTTTTCCTATTTTTTAGGTTAAATATTTGTAAATTTAAGTTAAAATTTTTATGTTATTGCATGCGTATTTTATTTTATTTTATTTTATTTTATTTTTTAATCAACTTTCTAAACACCAACTTTTTCTAGCATTTTTAACTCTCTAAATTAAAGTCTAATTCTCTCAGTTGGTGAAAAGTCAACTGGGATTTTAAACTATCCAGATACAAAGGAATATTTATTTTGAGTAGTAAATATTTCTACGTGAACTTGACGATCTTCCTGTGACCTTGGTGCAAGGAAGTACATTTAATGTACCTTTTCTAAGAAGCAATCCTAGTTTACGGTCGTCAATGGCGCTGTACAGAAAGAAATGTCCCACCGGAAGATACTGACAATCGGCTTTTGTTCACATTTTGTTGCTCATTTATAATAATAACAATTACTTTGTCACTTTGTAAATTCACTTTACTTAAAATCGGAAATACTGTTTGCGTAGTGTCGAAAATTAGTCTTACCGGTTTGGTAACGTCTAGCTGTCTGGAAGAAATATCTGCTGGCGCGGATAGTCGCCTTTATAGGCACTCAAAAAAAGACTAAAATACATAACTTTTAATAAACCTGGCTAAAAAGAATTTCGTTTATCGCTTTTATATCGCTTAGTTTGTTATCAGTAACAGACAGATTAAATTTAAAAGAAAAATTAAATACCTTACGCTTCGCCAAATGGCAACAAAGTAGCGGATGGAAGATAAAAATAGCTATAGAAATATTAAATTTATTTTTGAGTTTGACAATATGAGGTCTATAAATGAGTTTATTGTCAAGTAGCATGCCAATGTGTGTGACTTCTTGTTTCTCGTGTATTTCTAATTCCTGGTACGAAGTAAAGGATGTATTGTAATCGCGAAAATTTTCGGGCGTCATATTTCAAAGAAAATATTCATTTTGATCCCTCCCGAATCCATTTGAACGATATTTTTGCGTGACATCAGCATGTTCGAACAGAATAAAGGACTCTTTGTTTTCCCCAAAAGGTTTGTGAAATGGATTTAAAAGGGATTCAGAAGAGATTTATTTCGTACAACTCAAAAACGATTAGCCTCAGAACATTGAAATTTTGTATATGGGGCTGCTATAACATGTAACTGTGCACCTTCATTTTTTGTTGCAAACGGCCGCATCAAACTTTATACCACCACTGTTATCCCTCTCGGTGAGCAGAGTTTTCTTATTCTTATATGTTGGTAAATTTTGCTTTTTTTTTTTTTTTTTTTTTTTTTTTTTTTGCTTTAAAAATGATTTGAATTATGTGTTCTCATATTTCGGTTAAGGTTTTGAAGCCTTTAGTTAATATGCATGCAACAGTTGTAGGATTATCAACAGTTAAAAAGTTTAATTGCTGCTACGCATAATGAGGCCGCCATTTGTTTACATTTGAAACTTAGTAGAAAACTGAATTAAGTCAGTTTGTGCACAACTCTGTCGAATGGGACCAAAAGTAAACTTTCGTTTTGTGCACCGAAAAACCCGTGTTCCTACCCGCTGGCGAAATTGTTGGTTTTTGCGCAGAGACTAATTTTAATGGCTTTTGAACTGCTTTTAATTGTATTTGGTGTTTTTAGATTTTTCTGTATTTTACGGTTTTCAATGAAGATGCTTTGAGTTTTTATGTATTTTTGCTTTGCTGTAAAGTGAAAACGGAATTAATAGAATGAAGAACATATTTCTAACGGAATTCGAGGAAATAGGTTTATATGAAATGCAACAAAAAATGTGTATAATTTAACAGGCCGTACAAGAAGTCATGGGGCGTCCACATCAGTTATATTTTAATACTGTGTTTCTTTTTTCACCTTAAATTGTCTCTGTTGTACAAATATCTACACAGGAATATTAAACCTCGATTAACGCCATTATACTTCTGTTTTCTCTTAGCAGTTCATCCTAACGTAGTTTATTTATCGGAAGTAGGCAAAATTTATCACTAGTAAAATTGCATTTCAACCAAGGAAATTTAAATGGAGTAACTTTACTACGTGTAAAATATGAATATTTATTGCCAACAATATGGCATTTTAATTAGCAATTTATCATTTAAAGTTTTCAGTAAAATTTAATCGATTTTTTGTATTTCCTAACTGAACACTAATCTTAATTCAAATATTCAAGTTCGCGTTTGGAACATCTGCTTCTTTTAGAGCCCTCAGAAACACATTCCTCTTAAAGCAGACTATTCTTGCGGGATTTGCTGCGAAAATTAGCTACCTATTTTTCTATTTACTTTACTGGATTAAGCGATAATGTAACATTTTAATATTTTTATAAAATAATTTCAGTCCTTCACTGGTGGGTCAGTGACCACTGGATTACTAGCCCACCATTGACCGTGTTGGTTTCAGATAGTTGAGTACTAGTAATTCGACCTGACTTCGAAATCAGGCAAACAGGCTGACTGCATGGTTGGTTTTCGTGATTTACCTCATGTGTAACGTGAGTATGATCCAGTTTCATTTAGCAAATTAGCCCATCAGTGGCCAAGTAGTAAAGTCAAAGACTCGAATCCCACGAAGGGGCTGACTGCATTGTCGTTTTTGTGATTTTTCCCATGTGTAACGTGTACTTCCCTTACAAAGTCCTCCACAAAAGCATCTCTCTGGGCAGATAGCTCTCGAGTGCTTTGTCATAATCAAATAAACCAAACCTTTAGTAAGTCATCTACGGAGGCATTCCTACCTTTAAACAGATAATCCTCGTGTGCTATTCCGTTTCAGATGACCTAACCAGTGCTTCAGCCACAGCAATACCATGTTGAATAAGACAACATTTATTTAGTTTTTTATCTCAAAATTATGTTGTAATATGAATTGTTTGTTAAAATTTCAAGTTTTTCATTCGAAGCAATGACATTTTTCTTAATTTAGGTTTTTAAGGAATATATATGCAAATATTTCTATCACCAGGAAGGTTTTTAATAACTCTTCTCATCAGCCATAATGCTTGATTTTCTGCTAACACGAAGTCATTCTATTATTCGAAACCGACTGCATTAACTGAAAACGGTTAAACTTGTAAACATTTAATTTAGTTAAATGTTTACAAGTTGTAGCAAATGTATTTCTCGAGAATTCCAGGTAATTCTAGTTAAGAAAGAATTTAATATTTAAAGGAATTCAAGCACTCTGACTGAATGCCAATAGACTTTTTTTACTGTTTCTAAGTAGAAATCATATTTTATGTCATCAGATGGATTTACGTTCATTATTTTTTAAAGTCGACATTACTATTTCTTGTACTTTTTATATAAACTTAATTTTGAATTCATTTTATTTTCTACCGAGATGCAGCAATGGAAAGTACTTCACGAGACGAAAATCGAATTCCAGAAACTCCTTCCGTGAGTGACAATGAAGAACCAGATTCCACTCAACGAAACCTTGATTTTGAAGCTTGTCATGAAGTTAGGGATCCAGAGCTTATACGTAAGTAATTAAATTATATTTATAGCGAAATTTATGCTTCTTTCAGTCAGCACCACTGAAGGAAGCAACAATTTAAATATGCTTATAGTTTTGTGGAGATGTATTTAACTTACTTAATAGTTAATTTTATTTTGAAGCAACCTTTCCTATTGATCTCGCTTTCAACCCACGTTTTCTAGCCAGAATGTCAGTGAGTTAGAGAGCATGTATTCAAAATGTGGTAAAAAGAATTTAATATTAAAGGGAAAGTTTTGGAAGGGGATTTTAGAGTGTGTTCTGCCTGCCTGAAGGCCACATTGTTATCTTTAATTTACTAGCGGTTAGCTTTTTGTTGTTTCGAGCGCTTCTAGCCATTAGGCTTGTTTACGCCAACTTTTTAGGAATCAGAGCCTGCCCGCGAGTTAAGTAACACGTGAAAAGCCTTTAGGCTAATGTAATTCTATTATATTATTAGTTACTTGGTAACTTTCCAAGTTAAGGCAAAAAGTGTTGGCTTTTGCAAGCACGAGTCGGTGTCATCTGTGAATAATATCGAGTTAATAAAGGGTTCTTTAGAACCTTTCTCTGGACTTAGTCGTACTTAAAGATAATTCCTTACAAGGTTCTTTTCAATAATTAACTGTAACACTAATGAACAATATATTTTTCAGGTCAACAAGATACCCAAAGAGCGTTGACGTCCCAGTACATTAGTTGGCCTTACCCAGTCTTCCCGCCACGGACGTTCGGCAAAATACAGGAACCTCAACCGCAAGTCATCCTTTTAAACGAAGACATATGGAAGACATTCAGGATGGTTGGTACAGAGATGATATTGACGAAATCTGGCAGGTTAGAAACCAAGATACTTTTTCATTACTAAGGCTGAAAATGTTTTAATTAGAGTCATTTTAAATTTCCCAGTCCAGTTTCCTAGTCTTTTTCTAGGTATAGTCATCTGTCTTATTATATAAAACACTTTAACGTTGCTAAGACACAGATGTTTATTACAGCAAAGGCATAGGTATTGTAACTAGGAATTTGGTCGGTATTGTGTCGCTCAGTACATTCTCTGATGGCACTAGAATCTACTGTCCGGTCAATGGCGTAGCTGGAGGGAGCGGTTCACCCCGAGCGGCACATTTTTAAGGGCGGCAATTTTTTACATTAAAGGGTAATATTTTATAAAGTTTAGTCAGGTGGTCAGATCATCGAGGGAGGAGAAAGCTAGTTAGATTTTAAATTTCCCGTTAAGAGAAATAATTCAGAGTTTTGTATCTGTTATAGCTTACTACTTAAACAACTTTTACATTGTTTGATAATTTTACAACTATTGAATGCAAATAAACTAAAGACATAAAAACTTAACTGCAACATTAAGAACAGCATAATTCGATCACTTTTAAAGCAAAAATTCACAATTTAACAACATATAAAAATAAAAATACTGATCTCACAGAGTCGGGTAACAGATTGGGAATAAATATACGTATATGTACGTTTGGTGTGACCAATTGCAGCCAAAAAGGGAGGTGCACCACTACATGTTACAGCAGTCCCATATACAAAATTTCAACATTTTCAGGCTATTCATTTTTGGGTTATGCGAGGTACATTCGTAAAGACGTCACAAAGAAAATCTCTTTTAAATCCATTTTACGATCCGTTTTAGAAAAAAGAGTCCTTTATTCTGGCCTCACATACAGATGTCAAGCAAAAACATCGTTCAAATGGATTCGAGAGCTGTCAAATTTATGTTTTCGTTGAAATATGATACTAGAAATTCTTTGCGATTACTACACTTCCTTTACTTCGTACAAGGAAGTAACAAGCAAAATAACAATATAATTTTAAAATGTTGGCATCAAAGTTTGTCTTCAGAGATAAGCGTGGAGTTTTGTTTCCCTGCATGTCGTTTCAACATTTTTATAGCTATATTTGTCCGTCTATGAAGAGAGGCTGAAAATATAGGGACCGCCCTGAAGGGGTGGGTAAAAGCTCTAGCTATATCGCCATGTCAGCTGTGTCACTAAATTCTAAAAATGTTGCCATCTCTAGATATTGCTGTTCGGTACTTCTGTATTTTCCAAAATTTTTGCCTATTCTAAATTCTGCAGGTCTGGAGTACAGTTAAACACTACTATAATGAAATTCGCTTATACCGAATCCCGGATATAACAAACAAATCTTTTGGCCTCGTCCAGTTTATAATATATTTAATATTATTTTATTCTGCTGTAGCGAACATACCAAACCGTGAAAACCGGATATAACGAACTGAACGGATATTTACGACTGAAAATTGTTTTGCATTTTCATAGTTTTTTCCGAATTTCTGCAAATTTTAACAAAAAATTATTAACCATTAAATTCATCCACGCTTAGAACATTAGGATCCGCATTCCATTTGTAAATAAAAACATGTTTAAGTTTCCTTTTTTAATCTCTAGCCTCACTTTCTTAAACAAAGGTCTTGTAAGATAGGCGTGACATCCAACTCTAGGTGAACAAGGATACAATAAACTTATCTTAGAGTACCATATGACATACTCGACCATTGAACCATGAACATGTTTTCCGATTCCAATAAAATTCTTTTATTCAGATGCCGGATAGAGCACTGTTCAAAAGTGATGCTATAATGAATATTTCCCCTATTGCAAAACTGAACACTCATAAGATTCCCTATTTCCTCTTTCCCGAGGAAAGAAGGAACGTTTAAAGAAGGAAGAGGGGGGTGCTGCGTGCTTCGAAGTTGTGGAAAATTGTGGCGTCCTTTTAAATATCTAACTTCTCTGCGTTCAGTTTTATAGACAGAAAAATGTAGAAAAATTGAATTCTTCGAATGAATGTGATTTTGTACCATGAAAAGAGATTATTGATATACGTCAAATACACCTTTTTTTAAGGAAGCAGAAAGACACATTTGTTATATTAATGAATATGTATTATAAATACTTAGTATTTTGAATGCCATATTTTATGAATGCAAAGTTTCTGAACATCTGAAAAGTAGTCTTAACTAAAATGGCTTCCAAGCTTTTTACGTCTAAAGGGCAGGTTTTCAAATTACAAGAGTATTGCGGGTTGCTTCTTTTTGGTTAATTTTCTAACCCCATGTAAACACTTGTTTTTAATTCGATACTTTTGAATAAATGTGTGTGTATATGTATATCTGGTATGTATATCTGAATATATATTCACGCATACAAAGAATGCTTCTAATGCTTTTAATGCACTAAGTGAGTCCTCTTTATTATTGAAATGAATTGAATTACTTTTTATCATGTAAATATAATTTAATGATATGCATGTATATACAAGATATACATACACACATATTTATTCATAAGTATAGAATTAAAAACAATTAAGTTATGATGTTGCGTGGCCCCAACTTGTCCGCAACAGTAGTAGTGACTGCTATGAACTGTAAATTATACAAACTCGTAAGAAGGGTTTAAATCCTTTTTTATTTCACTTTAGAAATCATAGTTGCGTTCACTTGACGCTCACAAACTACGCCGACCCGGCGGTTAAACAAAATAGAAAAGTACAACTAAAAATAAATGACAGGATGAATAAATAACGAAGTCACTATCTACGAGGATCTATAATCGTAACTAACTTAACTGCGTTCTAAGATATAGCTGAGATTCAGCAAACTTACTGATTAAGAAGTTGAAAGATTCAACGAACTGCCGAGAAAGGCACACAGGCCGAAACGCGCGGTTCTTAAATTTCTACCTAGCAACCTTCACGCTCGCGATTCAAGAAGCACACTTACAAACTCGTTTCCCTTCTATTTAAACTCAACTTACTTCTGCTAAAATTTGAATACTCTCGCGTTCTACTAAAATTTACATACTCTGGCATTGGCAATTCCAGGGAAAAGTAAAGGCTTGACAGGAAAAATAGCTTAAAATAAATGTTAGTTAAAATAAATATAAACCCTACAAAGTGTTTACATGAGATTAGAAAATTAACCGAAAAGAAGCAACCCGCAATACTCTTGTAATTTGAAAAACTGTCCTTAGACGTAAAAAGCTTGGAAGCCATTTTAGTTAAGACTTTTTTTCAGATATTCAGAAACTTTGTATTCATATAATATGGCATTCAAAATTCTATGTATTTACAATACATATTCATTAATATAACAAATGTGTGTCTTTCTGCGTCCTTAACCCATTAACTGCCAAATTTTTATTTCATCTATTTTTATTTTATTTCTGTTAGTTTACATCTAAATAATAAGAAAAACATGTTTTTTTTCTCAATAAATGTGCGTCAATTTTTTTTTTTCAGAAATTTTAAATTTAAGTCCGATCCCCAAATGGGGATCATTACTGATACTATCTACTTTTAATGCCAGCGTTCAAAACAGTCTACGTGTAATCCAACATTACATTTTCCACATTGTTTTCTTGCATTTGTTTTGCATACTGCACATTTTCTTCGTTTACCATTTTCGGTCCGTTCAATATAATGATTACCAGATGTTCAGATAACAGTAGGAACACGATTAATTGACGCTTTAGTGAAAGAATTCCTTCCACCCTTTTTTTGCATCTGTGAGTTCTGAAGAGAAAGCAAGATATCCTCTAGCAACCATGCTCCTAAAATCTAGCAATGGAATTTTATCATTTGAAATACAATACAGTGCGTGGGCGTTAACCAGTGTTACGTGGATACCATTAGTATGCGAAGGAAAATACCATTTTTCTCCCTTATTCTGATTCTGTATTTTTGAACATTCCAATCCATCTTGTCTACTCTACCCATGTATTTGTTATATTCTGATATCAGTTTGGGTTGTGGTACTTGAATATCTTTCTTCTCTGTTCTACTCCATCGCTTCACCTCTGATATTAGTTCGATAGTTTCATGATTAGACAGAAGCCTTACACAGCTGTTGTCATTCCACGTGACAGCTAAAATTTCATTACGGGAATCAAATTTGTAGTCATATGCCCCGCGTTTTTTTTCCTTATCTCTTTGTCTGTTGCAATAGGGCATTTGTTCATTCTCTTGAATCGAACAGTTCCTGTTGCTCTAATGTCAATGTCCTGCAAATTTTTCATCAGAGAAAATCCTTGTGAAAAAATTGTCGAGAGTAAACTTTATGAGCATTTGGTGTCTGAAGAATAGATACCATCTGAAGGGATAACATATGTTCCCAAGCCCACTGATGCTTTCATCATCTCCTAATTTCTTTGATTTGCCTTCATACGCTTGAGTGTGATATAACAATATCCAGTTCTGTGAACCAACAGATAGCCCATTGTTTGAACCCAAACCGCACTGGCTTACCACGTATAAATTGTTTGAAGTAGTGATGTGCCCATAGAGTAACGAACCATTTGTTCGTCAATGCTCAAACTTTCAGACATACCCCAAATTGTTGAAATTTGTCATTCAGCTTGTCAATCAATGGGCGAATCTTGAAGAGGTTATCACGTTCACCTAGTGGAATCCTTTCTAAATCGGAGTTGTCACTGATATGTAGGTACCGTTTCATTTCCAGATATCTATTCCAACTCATGCATGCTCTAACACACAGAATGTTCATGTCTTCATCTTCACACCAATATAATTGTTCTTGCGGAAGTGAATGATAGCCAATGAAAAGAAGTATTCCAATAAACTTTTTACGCAGTTATCAGAAAGCTGAAATTGATGATTGTTTTTCTGTCTGGCGTATATTACAGACTGCTGGACAATATAGGTGACAGTTTCATTATCAAAAAGTATTTCAAAACACTCTACCGGGAATTTTCCACTACTTTTTCTAATGACATCATTTCGCCTTGTTTCTATAACGTTAGAATTTTCATATAGTTTCGAGTACTTAGGTTGCTTCTTTTTCCAATTGGAAGTCAATACTTATTTTCTCTTTTTAGCAGGTGGTAAGCCGGTACCTTTTGTTACTTCATTTGCTGAAGATTCAGTTGCATTCACTAAAACATTTTCCTCAAATCCTGCCACACGGTGAATTTCAACACACCCGGGAACATCAAGTGGTTCTTCATCATCAAATTACGTTATCATCCATGTCCTCATTATCTGAAATCTCATCAACCTGCTCTGGTAGAATTTCAACAATATCTATGGGGCTATTATCGTCGTCATTGTCAGATGCAAAAAAAACATCAGAATTTACAATTTCTTCTATTTCTTTTAAAGAAAGATATTTTTTACGCGACATTTCCTGGAAAAAAAGAAAAACAATTTTTTTTTTACAATTTTAGTCAGTATCAGCCATGATCCCCAAATGGGGATCGATATATCTAGGTTCATTGTACCCATCCAAATTACAGTATGAGAATAAATAATATATAAATACATTAATTACATACCAATGATCAAGGGAAATTCAGTACAAAAAAAATAATTGTTCCTAAGTAACTTTTTTGTGCTTTGAAAATAACCGTATTATTTTTCTCGTGAAAAAGTAACGAGAGAGCAAGAAAAACAACTGTGTTCACGTGTTTGTTTAAGATTTCTACTCTTTTAGTTGCAATCTTCAGGAAAGCATGACCACCCGTAAGGAACTACTCAGGTGCAGCATGACGTCACAATGTATACAAATGTAAGCGATCCCCATATGGGGATCATGGCAGGGAATGGGTTAAAAAAAGATGTATTTGACGTATATCAATAATCTACTTTCATGATACAAAATTACAATCATTCGAGGAATTCAAATTTTCTACATTTTTCCGTCTATAAAACTGAACGCAGAGAAGTTAGATATTTAAAGGGATCCCACAATTTTCCACAACTCCGAAGCACGCAGCCGCCCCCTCTTTCTAGCGTCCCTGTGTTTTCCCTTCTTTATAATTTAGACTATCCACAAATGATTAATATTTGCGCTAATACATAAGTACTTTGTTTAAAATGCCCGCAATATTTTGAGAAAGTATATACCATGTTCACAAAAGCCTTACTCGGCCTTTGTGTTTGCAACTGTTGGCCGTAAACATGTGCAACCCCTGACGGAACTACCAGTGTTTAGCGAATCTGCTGCTCTTTTGCTGGTGGGGTGGGCCAAATTTTCTCGAAGCCTGTAAAAATCACATTAATACGGTTCCCAGAACTAAGACGAGTAAGTTGTTAGTTAACTCTGAAACTTCGTGGTTCAAAGAGAGTTAATTGAATTTCATTTCGAATTTACTGTATGAATGATTTTGGAAATTTATAATATATTTCTCACCTCTTATTAGTAATAGTGCCGATAAACACAGATTCTCAATCTTAGGTAGCTTAATTTGTTCTACTAATATTTCCTTTTTTTTTTTTTTTTTTTTTTTTTTTTTTCCTTCTTAGGAGAATGTTTCCGCTTGTACAAGTTCAGTTGACTAATCTCGATCCTTCGAAGTTTTATTACGTCTTGTTGGATATCGTTCTGGTGGATCAAATGAGATATAAGTTCATGAATCTGCAATGGGTTCCCTCTCTGAAAACAAATTTCCAATCAGAAATCAACTTTTACAATCATAGCAAGTCACCAGCTTTAGGATCAAAGTGGATGCAGGAACCAATCACTTTTACCGGAGTAAAACTTTCAAACTACGAAAAATCGGACGAAACCCGAGTAAGTAAAACTTGAACTCTTATTGTTTTTCGTCTTCTCGTCCCAATCTGTGACGGTAAAAAATTCAATACGAAAATTTAATATACTTCTTCGTTAGCAGGGCAGTAGCCAAAATGCACGTAAGCGCCAAACACTATTACTTACCTTCGTTTAAATGAGTTTGTCTAATCTATGATTTTCTCAAATGCTTTTGATAATTTTCCCCAAAATCTATAATCTTTTCCAAATATCCCAACTCGCACACAATGGCTGGATACTTTTGAAGTCAAGTTTTCGTCGAGAAAAGAAGGCGTTATTTTTTTAACGTCTCATCACCCAGAACGTTGTCTAAGAGAAAAGCGATTGATTTTACATCTTCGCGAAGAGACAAGTTCTTTTCCAATTTCAATGGAGAACATCCGAGGGATCTAGGACTCCTAACTCTCTTTCTCTTATCAAGTCTTTCGAAAAATCTTTTTGTTTGCCAGTATTTTCAGTGCCCTCATGCCGCAGAGTCACTTATAAACATCTAAGCCTTCTCCGGAATACGGGAAGTGCAACAGCATTCCGATAATTAGCAGATTTTGTGACCAAGAAGAGTTGTGGTCATATCTCTCTTCTTCTTATTTATTTATTTATTTTTAGTCCAAAGGTGCTTTGTCCCTGAAGGACTATTGTTTTCGTTTTGTGATTTTGCGTTGAATCACTATAAATGTCCGTTTCACTTTCCAAACTGTTGCCACCAAATGTTAGAGTCCTGCATTATATTTGAAGAAAATAAATAATGAAAAATATGCATAAATGTATGTATATTTCTCGCATTGTGATAAAACTACGGTCCATAGAGCCATCAAATTTTGAATGACGTAATTCTCCTACGAATATGGGCATGTGGAAGACCAAATTTGGAATTTGTTTTATAATCGATTTCATATTTTGTAAAACTTTAGCGAAATTTTGAGTAACAAACTCAACGATTTGAAAGCGAGCAATGGCAACACTCGGGGGGGGGAAATTCTTTTATTTCCAGCGCGCGGAACTGTGTATCGGAAATTCTAAAGATAGGCTCATTTTAAAATTATTTTGCGGCATTGCTATTGAACTAAATTTTATGGTTTAAGTGCAAAGATTTAGTAAATAAAAGTAACACACAAACGTTATATTTAGTAAATAAAAGTAACACACAAACGTTAAAAAAAAGGCCCCTTTGGGCGTAATTTTAAATCCTAAACCTTTCAGATTTTTTTAAATCAATTAATTAATTTATTTATTTATTTTGGTACTATCACATTTTTCAACTATGACAAAAATCACCGGACAAAGCGCTATGTCGCCAAAGTAGGTAACTCAGATTTTTACGAAAATGTATTTTATCTAGCAACCCATCAAATGCGTGCAATTTTGGAATTCCCAGAGTTATGTTCGTGATTCAGTAAGCCTCCTCTAAACCAGGCTGAATCACCAACTTTTCTCTCTTGGCGAGGGAGTGAACGCGCTGCCAATTTTGGCGCGTTTATCGCACACGCTGGCTGAATGTCTGCTGTTTTTTAAAGATTTATTTTATAGACGCGCGGCATTCAGCGCATATAAACTTTTCGGATAATTTATTAATTCTCGAATAGTATATAGACGTTTTCACTTAAATAAAAATTTCGCGTATATTTTGTAAACATATTCAAAATAACTTATTCTTTAGATGTTTCAGTTTCGTTAGCAGACTAAAATAAATAAGATATGAATAAAAACTTTCAATAGTGTCAAATGGGGAAATAGTTAAAGCGTAGAGTGTGCAAATAAATTTATCTTAATGACATTTTAACAAAAATTTCCATAAAAACACTGTAAATTCATACTAAAAAAATATGTTGTCATTTAAGTCTGAGGTATATGGAAATAATTGTGCAAGATTCTGAAGAAACACTTTCTTTTAAATGTGTGAAATATTTCATAACATAATATGGAAGAAGAAAGTACAGCATTCTGTTTTGGATGCTTTTCAATTCATCAAATGTAATATAAATACGAACTAGAAACCGTAATAAAAAGTCCTTCCTCTTCAATCAGATCACCTTTGTGTTGCATTGTATTTGTAATACTTCTAAAAATCCAATTTTTACCTAAATTAAAAAACAGTTATTCCATAAAAGATAATAACTTTGAACGTATATAGAATGAATTTTGTAATTTGAGTTATGTTACAAAATAATTCATAGTTTATATATTTTATACTAATAATTTAGATAAAACCTGTCCAATTTAAGAATGTGTGTTAACCACATTCTTAAATTGTAAAAGGACGACTTAACCACATGTAATTCATTTCAAAGCATAAAAGAAAGCTTATTTTTTATTTTACACAGCAACAGCATTTTCATGCAGTCAAGTTTTTTTAACTGCTAGTTATTATACATAATACTTAATTTTAAACCCATTCTTATTAGAAAGCATAACTAAGAAACTTCTTTTTAAAGCACCACAGTGATTGCAAAGAATGTCGTTAAATTTACAAAAGTATTGAAGATATATTGAACAGCATTATAACAAGAAAGTACTGTACAAAATATGTAAATTTAGCATAACTTCTTTTTTAGTATTTGCATAGTTTCCTCCAAATGAACCTTAATGGGAAGTTATCTTGCGAAAATTTAAAAGTATTAAAATGGCCTCTATTTAAGATGTAACTGCATTTATAATTATTTTGTAATTGCGAATAGATTATATTATTGCAATTAGATTATGCACTTACAACATAATTGCATAAAGTAATGAAATTAAGAGTTCACAGATACAATGTAATATAATTACAATGCAATTACCTAAATTGTAATTATAATCACTTATTTAATACCACAATATTATTACAATCACAATGTAATTTAAATTGGGTACTATATTTGCATACCCTCCACTCAAAAGGAGGTACTGATAAGCCTGGAAGTTATTATCAACAAAAAGCCTGTTCAGGACAGTTTGATGACAATTTCCGGCGAAAAGTACATTCTTAAGCCCAGGCAAATCATGACAATAAAAATCATTTAGTCTTATGATTCACTATATTTTAAACCCTAAATTTGAATTCTGCACCAAATTATTTACCTATATTTTAACATACTTTATGAATTATTAGAAGCGATATGGCAAATATCTTCTAAAAATAACTGTAAAATATTTGTATCCATTAATTGATTCAGATACACACTTTTATTATTTAAGTATATCAAAATAACAGTTTCATGTTCCTGAAATACAAAAAAAATTATGGAAAAAGTTAAAGTAATATTCTTAGAAGCATATGATATTAGTCACCAGATGCAAAATTATAGTTAATTTTTTGCCCTAAATACAATTTTATTACACAGTAGTCAAATGTGTAACTTAATAACATGTTATATAAAAAATTAATGATAATAAGTTTATCAGAAATGAATTAATTCTGCAAATAAACTTTCTGCACTTGAAAATTTTCTACACCTGAGGGGAGGGAGAGATCTAGTAAAATTAGATTTATTATAACTTCAGTTGGACCAAACACCTTCTCTCTATATATATGCATCACTAAAGAAATAAATAAAATTATCATGCTTAAAAAACAGATATACCATACCAGTTTTTTTTCCCCTTGTTACCCTTTACATTGAGAAATAACAAACACTGAAAAATACTATCCTTGAAATTTTGTTTAAATGAAGAAACACACACCATCTTTTTATTTAAGCATTACACTTCAAAAACAGATACACATACCAATTTATTTTCACTAGCCTTTATACTGATAACATGCCATATAAAAATGAAAAGAATTATCCTTGAAATTTAGATAAAATGAAGTAACACAATGGGAAAATTTATGCACACGGACATCTTTTTTCTATTGCATGTTGTCTGACATGATCCACAAGTGCCTAAAAATGTACCCAAAGAAAGAAACGCATTTCAATATTAACAAAAAATTGTTTACAGATTAAAATTCATTCATTTCATACCAGTATTATAAAGATCATGCATGAAACAAATCTGCTTTCCCATACTTTTAAGTAAAACTTTTATACTGGAAAATAGACTATATTTCTATATATTAGAAACAAGAAAATACTAATTTGAATGTTCTGCATTCATTTCTAAATCTTTACTCCATTGCCAAATTGTATAATACTGTGATTATAAATAAACTTGCACAATCCTTGCAATTATTGAAGTCAGATTATATATATTTTGTCTCACACACTATTCAATTTATTCTATTGACTTCAGATGTCAATGTCAAAATTCTGGAAGTTATTTTAACCAAGAAACAGTAGTGGGCACCGTGCATAAACAACTCATCTAACTTTTTAACAATAGTGATTATAAAATAAAGAAAAAATTATATATCATTCCAACGATATTGCAACTATAGTATAATGTTACATATATCTTTAGCAAACATTCAGATTTTATCTTGACTTTCCAAATTATTATTTATTTTTTAATAAATTTCAATATGCTAATGATTTTCATGTTACATTAGTATAAATTCCACAATTAGCACAGGAAAACAAAATCCGCGCTTTATATTAGAAGAGAAATTTCTTTTCCATATTCAAAACATCTACATTGGCGATGTTTGGCGACGGGTACATTAACCCTAGACTAATTTAATTATAGCTATTATTACAGAAATTAGCAGATACTCAGGTTATTGTACACAAGAATTTCACTTTACTTGCACATTATAAACATCAGAGAAGATATAAACTCTAAATGAAGGCGTAATTAACATTATACTTACTAAGCAAAGTTCAGCGCCTGGACCAGGTTTCCAATTGTCTCTCTCTTCGGCAATTATTTACCCATATTTTTTTCTTCTTTCTTCATTTTTAGGAAATTTTACCAATGTATGACCTTTCCGTGAATGATTTGAACAATTAATAGCTGTACATCCGCCCATTTTACACAAAAAAAACACAAAAAATTGTTGCACCGTAACTACACACAGCCGCCATTAAATCTCCCACTTGGGAGCGCGAATGCCTGATGATTCA